ACCTTTCGTATGAAGCGCAGAGAATCCAGCCCGATGCGCCCATCACATCCCTGCACACATGCACGGGATTATACTGATATATATCTGGTCATCTGGAACAGCTTGAACTTGATTTTACGATGTTTTTCTAAGTGGCAACACGCAGGAGAAACCACGAACCTTGCACGTAGCGCGGTCTGTGGGGGCATAGTCGATCGCATATGGGTTTGGAACGGGCGGACGCTCGGTTTTGGGCACCATGATGTTGAACTTGAGTTTCTTTGAAGCCTACAGACGGGCACTGTTGCTAGGGGTGAATACCAAGAAGGCTTGCTGCTGCGGCTTGCCGGCTCAGGTGTATGCGCAGGCAGGAAGACCCTTCTACGGACTCATCGTGAAGACGATAATAAGAATAATAGTTAACGGGTTCTGCAGCTTCAACGAACTGCCGCCAGCAGCTAAGGACGCTGCCGTGGCTCCGCTTGTTGCGCTAGCGACTCAGCAACGCAAAGGCCACAAAGTCAGCCTCAGCCTTCTTTGTGAAAGTATATAAAACAATTTTAACGAAGATTTGAAGGGAAGAGCCGTTAGATCACCAATCACGAACACGCATGTCTTCCGGGTGTGTGTGGGGTTGTGGTGCCACCCAGAGTAAACACCTCACTTACAACGTAGCTGCAACAAGCTGTAAGGGAAAACTTTCATTATACTTATGGAGGTATATCGCTTCTTTTGTAATTTCCGAAGCCCCGTTTGCCGCCTTAACGCCCCTATAGCAATTATTAACTCTTCTGCGTTCCCGCCACTCTCAGGTGACCACCATACACCCTCCTCCCTTTAACCTTCTGTGCGTCTGGGAAGGAAAATAGCTTCGGTGTATCGGTGTATATAGCTCGCACATTTCACTCATTTGGCGTGCACAGCGCCTCCTGCATGTCTAACACCATCTCCAGTAACTCTAAGAAACATACTATGCACTATATGCTCCTGCTTGTGCCTCCACTACGGACCCCAGAGAGTACCCTTATCACCACCCAGTGGAATACAACTAGCAGCCTTAGCCGCCAACAGTTGGCAAGCATTGAAATAGCCAGAAGCTCGCGAGATATTCACAGGAAAAGGATTCTAGAGTGAGATCAGCATAGTAGCCTAGAGTAATAGACCTCTTGCAACAATGCAAGGGTGTACACCATGCATGGAGCGGCACGAGATCAGAGACCCAATGCCTCAGCCCTTTCCGTAGATGCGCGTTCTATCTCCATCCTATGCTCTACAGAGTACTCCCTCTACGCCGAGCTCGAAGTACTTCTACTGACTATGTGAAACTGAAATAGCAAAACGAGCTGATAATATACAGCAGCGGTGGTCCGATACCGCAAGTACTGCAGCAAAAGCTGTGCAGAAACGTTTTCTTAAAGTTTATTACGACTTATGGGGGCAAAAATCCCCCCGAGTTCACCAAAACGCGCACACTGCTGAAGGCCTGGCGCATCTTCAGCAGCCCGTCATTTTGAGCAGAAGCCCAAATAGTGTTTCCTCTTAACAAGATCCTCACACCATCCCCTCCACAGAAACAAGAAGAAACAACTCTGGTTTAGAATCTGAGTTTCTTGCGGAGGAAAAGAACGTCCTTCGAGACCTTGCCAGCCTTCTCGTTGATGGGGTTCATGAACTTCTCGTAGAAAATGCTGGCGAGGGCCTTCTTAGCTGCCTTTCGTGAGGCGCTGTCCTCCAAAGCAGCATCGGGGACGAGGGACTTCACGTCGAAGTCATTGCTTACAGTGTACCTGCAGCAATACAACCAACGCAATATATCATGGTATGGCCCAC